TACATCTCTTGATTTTGGTTAAAAGCCTGGCAGCTGAATTTAAAGAAACAGTGACGAGCTAATGAGCTTTACCTCTTGCATAACAGCTGTACTTACTTATATCTTATATCTGTGTGTGCTGGAGGAAGTGTTCAGATCCTTTACTTATGTAAGAGTACTAGATAGTTAGATAGATAGCTGGATCAATACTTTTATTAATCCTGAAGGAAATTAAGGCACCCAGTAGCTTAAATGATGAGTAAAACAGTTGCAAGTTAATTTTCTAATTAACAGACTAATAGTTTCAGTTGCACTTCTTTATTTCTATATGGTCTATGTGCAAAAATCATAAATTCTAAGTTTTCAAATAATTGTAGTGGAGTTAAAAGTATAATATTTCCCTCTGAAGTGTAGTGGAGTAAAAGTAGAAAGTGATTTTGAAATACTCAATTAAAGTAAGGCCATGGTTTTGGAAAAAGTTCCGCGTTTAGACAACAATGTTTTGATGACAATCACCGTGCACATGGATCCGCAAAAATGACCAAAAACACTGCAGTATACATGCCAGGCCAGTAGTTAGCGGTGTGACGCTTACGCTTCCTTCTACAGAGCAGTGATGCATAAACAAACAAAATGGCAACTGCATGAACGTTTGTCTGGACGGACAACGAGTTGCTACAGTAAATCTACACTATGATGGGGAAGCAATGATAAATTCAACAGGGTGAGCAGTACAAACAGAGCTCGGGAGTCCGCCATTGTTGTTGTGATGGTCGACTTTCTCGCGCATGCCTAGTGACTGGAACCGTAATGCGCATGTGTGTGTCTCCGTTTTCAGAGGAACTGCATATTGCAAGTTGATGCGATAACGGAGACGGTGCCATTTCCAAAAAATTGCACTCTGGAACCCATTTCAAAAACACTGCGTTTTCAGGCACCCAAAACACCGCCATCATGTAAACGATCGTCCAAAACGCAACTAAAGTTTACCGTTTTTGGTTGAAATCGTTGTCGTATAAACGGGACCTAAGAGTACCTCAAATTTGTACTTAAGTACATATACGGGGTGGCAGTAGCTCAGTCCACAGGGACTTTTTGGGAACCAGAGGGTTGCTGATTCAAGTCCCCGTCCGAACCATACATGGAGCATGGACTGGTAGCTGGTAGCCACAGCAAGGCACTGAACCCCCAGCTGCTCAGGGCACCTGCCCATTGCTCTGACATCTCTCCATTTAGGTCCTGTTTGTGCATGTGTGTATTTCTGACCTGTGTGTATATGACAACAAAGTTAAAAAGAATTTCCCCTCGGGGATTAATAAAGTATATCCTCTTCTTTCTTTCTCCTCTTGTGTAAATGTACTTAGTTGTCACCTCTGGCTGCTTTTACGTTGTGAACCGTGATGGATAGTTACGTTTTTTATGAGTGTGACTTTCTTTACGTCCTAACAGTCAGTCCTTTACCACCGATACAACCTTACTCAATTCATTCATCTCTGATTCCTCATAGGTTACAACGCTATACTTACTGTATCTGTGCTTAAAGAGAAGTAGGAAATCAGTCAATTTGTGACCTCGTATTCGATTGAAGTGATGCAGAGCTTTCAGCCAACATCAAATCATAACACAAGCTGCAGGAAAATATCTGACTCTATGACAGTATACTTGGAAGCCTGGTGTGTTTTCCCTCCTCGTTTGTCTTGCTCTGTCATCTTCACTCTCTGTGAATGCGCATTATGTAATCATACGCTGTGAGTGCATACATGTGCACACACACACTAAGGGATTAGCTGTAGCTGGAGGTGGCGTGTGTGTGATGGGAGGGGCAGAGCGCTTTGGAAATAAACTTTAATTTCCTGCAGTCATGGGAATTTGACCCTTTTATCCCGACATGCACACACACACACACACCGACACACACACACACATTGTTGTGGACAGAAATACTCTTTCTTTCCCCTGCTGTTTTAATTTGCTGGTTTGTCACTTTGATTAAGGGGGAAATGAGCAAAGAATTTCCATCTTTAGTGTCCCAAATATTCTGGACAACACTATCTGCGATGCAGGGAACTCCGATCGTTCCTTAATAGGGAAAAGACCTGATGTTGAATTAGTAGTTTCTAAACACCAGCTTTAGTAACCCAAACAATGGCTTGTTCCACATAAACCCGGTCAGAGGAGGAGGATGTAGAACTTGTAAAACAGACCATAAAAACAGACACACAGAGAACTGCTGCTGCAACATATGCCCTCTCATATACACAACCGTAGCCACAACGTGGATTTATAGCTGATGTTTCAGTATTTTCTTCTGTTAAACCCAACTGTTGCTCCAACTACTGCCAGTGTTTGGCTGGTAGTCCACAGGAATTAAAAAAAAAAACACCAAACGAAAAGGATTATGAATGTAAAAATGTCAGCAATGATGGTTTTCTGACAGTAAGTAGAATCTCTAGCAGGGAAATTCTTTGTCGACACTTTGCATGTCACCAGTCAAGTAATCTGATTTAGAACTTAGATGCATAGAGCAGTGAGTCACCAGATTTTATCACTGACTGACACTGACTAACAACCACAGGCCACAGACTGCAAACACTGCAACATGCTGGGCACAGCATTTGCCTTGTATCTTTGCACAGGGGCTCAGTGGTAAGGGTTAGGTAACAAAACTACTTGGCTACAAAAAGATCATGGTTTATAGAAGTCACGTTAGTCAACTCACGTGACTAACAACTAAAGTCCTGTACTACCCGCCTCCAAGCACACCTTCCAACCAAGTCTCACTCCAAAGTCGTCCAATACCAGTGCTTGAGCTGTGACTTCCGGCATCAGACACCAACAAAAAAGGCCGTCCTTGCATGTCGGCATGATACACGGCCAGTTGCTGATATTGTGTAACAGCGCCCGGTGCCGTCAAGGAGAAACATGGTAGGCCAACAGTTAAGGGAGCAAAAGTCTGAGTGGGGTGAGCCCAGCAACCATCAACTTTCACCCAGGAGGCCGCTGTTTCCTTTCTGTATGGATGTAAAGCCAAGCGCTGTTCATTTTTATTCTAAACCCAACCAAGTGTGTTTGTTGTTGAAGGAAGTTGTACCGACGTAGTGCATTTATTTTGAAAGAGACTATGCAAACTGTACATTTCCTGTGAAAACTGAAGTTTATTTTGAAAACACGCAATAGATGTAACAGGCTAAAGTTGGCACAGTGTCCCAGAACGTCAACAGCCAATGCACCCAGGGTACCTTGCTCGTCATATGTTGACATGGCAAGTCCGTAACCGTACATCGATATGTGACGAGGTCAGAATGAGAATGTGTTGGACTTAAGTGTTCATAATACTTCGTCCCCTCGGCTGCCTCACTTTGTTGCTGAAGAATCACCAAAGACTTTTTATTTTCTTCTTTATAACAGTATTTTGCCCAATTAAAAAAAAGAATGTAAGTGAAGTCAACTGAGAAGCTTTTCCAGAGCTTTAAACCACATTTCATGGTCTGCCTGAGCAGATGACCTTTGCTTAGTTGTCACGGAGATAACTCGGTTGTCCATACTTAAGTCACCTGATGAGAATGAATATCCGTGACAACTAAGTAAACTCTCTCCACAGAGGAACACTGTAAGATGTGATTGAAAGCCCAAGAACATTAAGTGAGTGGTCTTTCTGATATTTCATGTCTCCACCTTGGTTATAACCGTGGCTGGAGGTATTATAATATATATTTTGTCTCTGGGTGCATTCATCCCATTTTCATTAATAAATTTCCTCAGCTTTGGCACAAACGTCCACTTGAACTTAAGGATGATCTAAGCAGAACTTTGTGGTCAGAGTTCAAGGTCACCTTAAAATCGTGCTGATTTTTTTTTTTTTTTTTAAAGATATTTTTAGCGCATTTTGCCTTTATTGGACAGGACAGGTAAGCGTGAAGGGGAAAGAGAGAGAGAGGGGGGATGACATGCAGCAAAGGGCCACGGGCTGGATTCGAACCCGGGCCGCTGCGGCAACAGCCTTGTACATGGGGCGCCTGCTCTACCACTAAGCCACTGATGCCCCCATGTTTTAGAATTTGTAGCTTCTTTGCAGCAACATCGATATTTGAAGCATTGTCAACTGTCATGGCTACATATGAGTCTGTACAGACATAGATGTAAACTGTAACTGCAACTTGACTTTACTTTTCTCTCTACATTTCTACACTAGACGGACAACCAACTAAGCTCACATTCACACCTACAGGCAATTGAGAGTTGCCAATTAACCTAACGTACATGTCTTTAGATTGTGGGAGGAAGCCAGAGTACCCAGAGAGAACCCACGCTGACACGTGGAAAACATGCAGACTAGACACAGAAGGGCCCAGAACCCTCTTGCTGTGAAGCAATAGTGCTATCCCTGTATTTAAAAATCATTTTGACATAATTTTGACTGCAAAAGGGAGATTTCAATTAGATATTTAAATGTTTAGAAGGTGGATTTTCCCTTTATTACCATGCCATTAAATATAGTTTTGACCTGACTAACTACCACGTAATTACCTCTCCCTTTAGATTTTTTTCACACAGAGAAAACACACGTACACTCACACCATTTCCCTTGTCTTTCATGTCTGGGGCCGTGCAGCCCTCAGGCAAAAGGGGCTATTCAAACAAACAACAAGGTCTGGTTTATTGAAATGGTTCACTCTGTTCTAAGAGCTGAGGGAGAGGTACAAGCACACAGGACAGAAAGATAAAGCGAAAGGGGAGAAGGTCATAATGAGGGTGGTGTTTGAATTTGAAAAAAAAAGAAGTTGATTTAGGATCAATAAAAGCAGAATGTGGTTTAGTTTATGTATAGATAAATGTTTGTTTAGCGGTCCTTCATCTCAATAAGTGGCACTGAAATACACTCTCATACACACACACTTTCATAACAAAAATAAATGAAAGACACCACAGGACAAACAGCACACAGTCTTCATTGTTCGACATTCTTGAGCACCACTTATTTTATTCACGGTGACTTTTTCTTTTTTTTTTCTCTCTCACAGAAATACGCAAACGGAGAAAATCTCTACGCAGGAAGTTTGACTCCTTTTCAAAGGAAAAGAGGGAGCGAGGTAAGTTCATCACACAAACACGGTCATGTGTGGTTGAACATAAAACCATTTCTGGCCACAGTTTGTCTCCTTTGATAATCTGTTTCTTCATGAAGTCCCTGCATGACCCGACACCCTCAGACTTTGTGTTTGCTGCAGTAAATATTACCATCAAACACAATGTCTTTCGAACCGTATCACCACCACTGACGTCCAGTGGCTTTTACCACTAATGCTCTTACATACTTGAAATACTGTTTATATGGGCCTACAGGCTGACTCATGCAGCGTTCAGTGAGTCAAGCTTTGTGTTTCATTGTCCCTGCGTCTTTCCTGCATTGTTACGACATAAACTGATTTAATGACTAATTACAAACTCCCTCGACAGTCATGTTTTGTCACCCTGAAGTGCAAAAACAAACCTCCGCAGTGAAGTGTTCTTACGCACTCTGATTACTGGAAATAACCAGCGTTGAAGTAATATTTCATTCATGACATTTCCGTTGATCAAAATGGATTTTCATAGTTCCTTTTTTTAAATCCCATTAATGCATATTTTAACTATCTTGAAATAGCCCATTTATTACTAGAGTCTGATTACCCAGTGAGTTTTGATTAGTTATAATCTCTCTGGACATTCTCAGTTTTGCTCTAGTTTTTCCAGCATGGTTGGATTACTTACCAAGTAAAGGAGGTAAATGCTTTTTAGGCCAAGACCTACAAGCTTAGGTGTAGGTTATGGGGGGCAAAACAGAGGACCCCCTCAATTTTTAATAAATGCATTTGTTCTCCCAGTAAAAACATGAAAGTAGCAGAGGACTTTTGTTTTGAAGACATTTTAAACCATAGATTAATGGCGAAAAAGCACAAACTGGTGCATAGCATAATACCCCCACATCACCCGTTTTATATGTGTGCCCAGCAGTGTTGAAACAAAAACTACATTCTTATCTACAAGGGTCCCTGAAGGCCTCAGGGTCACTGTGTCACTTGGTTTTGTGGTTATCTGATTAATCTCAAATTTGTTTTGGAACCAAAGTACAAGTTCCACTGATACTTCACATACAAGAGATAAAAACATCAGGGGGTATTCTGCATTAATATTCAGGTCCTGTATTGCCGTTTTAATTCAATTCAATTCAATTCAATGGAATTCTATTTATAAAGTCGAATATCACAAATCACAATTTATCCCAGAGGGCTTTACAACATACGACATCCTTCTGTCCTTGGACACTCACAGCAGATAAGGAAACCCCCCCCCCCCCCTTTATTGAGCTGACATATGGTATGTTTAACTAGATATGCCTATGTTTTCCTTTCAGGGGTCACGTTTTGTAATGACACTTTAAACTGTATTTCTATTTTTACTTGTTTTGAAAGACTTTTATGCAAAACTGAAACATAATCTTGCACAATCTAGATTTCCATAAGTTATACAGCTCTGTGTCATGTGTTGCTGATGGTGAAGCTGTATTCATACTCGTGCCTTTGGGCTGTAGGCAGTGGTGCCATGTGGCTAAATATATTTACTAAACTACTGCACCTGAGTACAATTTTGAGGCACTTCCATTTTCTGCTACCTTGTAGTTCTACTAAAGTGATGTACATATTAATGCATCAATAATTATAGTCAAGTTAGGCTTTCGATTTACTGGTCCACCCACGTCCCAACCCTCACCTATGGTCATGAGTTCTGCGTAATGACAGAAAGAATGAGGTCGCAGATACAAGCGGCCGAAATGAGTTTCCTCTGTTGGGTGGCTGGGCTCAGCCTTAGAGATAGGGTAAGGAGCTTGGACATCCAGAGGGAGCTCGGAGTAGAGCCACTGCTCCTTTATGTTGAAAGGGGTCAGTTGAGGTGATTCAGGCATCTGATCAGGATGCCTCCTGGGCGCCTCCTGCTGGAGGTGTTCTAGGCACGTCCCACTGGTAGGAGGCCCCGGGGCAGACCCAGAACACGCTGGAGGGATTATGTATCTCATCTGGCCTGGGAACGCCTTGGGGTCCCCCAGGAGGAGCTGGAAAGCGTTGCTGGGGAGAGGGTCGCCTGGAATACTTGCCAAGCCTGCTGCCCCCTCGACATGGCTTCGGATAAGCAGTTGAAAATGGATGGATGTAAAAAATTGTAATCCAGTAATGTAATACTTAATATTCTAAACTGGGTCATTTTACATCCTGAGTACTTTGTTACTTGAAGTATATCCAATGCTAATACTTTCCTACTTGGGTAAGAGTTTGAATGCACAACTTTTACTTAGTATTTTTACACTGTAGTGGTGCTACTCTCACTAAAGTAAAAGATCTGAATACTTCCACCATTGGCTGCAGGTTAGGTCTTAATATATAGAACATATTCTCATGTATAGAGGGCTGACAAAAGTATGATGACTCATTATTACCAAATTTGTAACAGTTCTTTGCTGTATATAAACACAAAGGCATCCTCATGCTCTATTTATATTCAGCAGTGAAGCAATAACTTATTGCTGTAATTTCCTTTTGTTGCTGTCATCCACTCATGGTGCCTTCACAGATAGGCAAGGTACCCATGATGCCATGGGTATTAACACATCCCCATACTATCACATACCATTGCAGATGTTGGCTTTAGAACTTTGCACTAGTAAAGGCCCATTTATGCTCAACATTAAATACAGATCCGGATACGGACAGAGCCTTCTGTCCATCCTCCGCGTTCATTTCATCCGTATTTCTGCACGTTTCCATAAAGCTTACAGATACGGGCCAAATGGAGACGTACCACCGGAAACCGTGGGGGCAGTGTTGCTGTCACTACCCGATAGGTAGCTCTAGTGGGACACGAAGAAGAAATAACAATGTCATCGATCAATGCCAACGTAAAGGACGCATGGAAGTATGTGGGCAGTGACGGTAACATCTTTTGAAACAGACGTATGCATTTTCGTACGTAAAGGGAGGATAAATGGGCCTTTACAATCTGGGTGGTCCTTTTCCTCTTTAGCCCAGACGACACGACGTCCATGATTTCTAAAAACAATTTGAAATGTAGACTCATCAGACCGCAGCGCACTTTGTGTCAGTCCATCTCAAATGAGTTTAGGCCAAGAAGTTCTGGATGTTGTCTATATATGGCTTTCACTTTGCATGGCAGAGTCTTAATTTGCATTTGTAGATGCAGTGACAAACCGTGTTTACCGACAATGGATTTCCAAAGTCTTCCCGAGCCCTGTCGTACTATCCTTCATACAATCATGTCAGATTTTAATGCAGTGCTGCCTGAGGGGTCAAACGGCATTCAGTATTGGTTTTCAGTCTTGCCCCTGATGTGCAGAGTTTACAACAGAATCTCTGAATCTGTTGATGATCGTATGGATTGTCTTAGATGGTGAAATACCTAAATTCATTGAGATACTTTCTTAAACTGTTGGTGTTTGCCCACAGTTTTTCACAAAATGACCATCCTTGTTTGGGATCAACTGAGCCTTTTTGCAGATGCCCCTTTCATACTCAGTCATGGGTGTAGTTATTGGGGCAGCTGTAGCTCAGTCCACAGGGACTTGGTTTGGGAACCAGAGGGTCGCCAGCTCAAGTTCACGTCCAGACCAAATATGGAGTGTGGACTGGTAGCTGGAGAGTCTCCAGTTCACCTCCAGGGCACTGCTGAGGTGCCCCCGAGCAAGGCACCAAACCCCGCACTGCGCTGACATGTCTGCATTTAATGCATGTAGAGATTCTGTTTGTGCAAGAGAGTATTTTGGGCCTGTGTTTATATGACAACAGAGTGAAACTACTTGAATTTGCCTTCAGGGATTAATAAAGTATATCCTCTTCTTCTTTTTCTTCTGATACTTTAATCTGTTACCAGTTAACTTCATTCCAGAATTCCCAAGCTTTCCAAGTCTTTTGGTTGCCCCTGTCCCAACCTTTATGCATCAAAATAAAGTGTTGGTCTCCATTAAATGAGCTCATAGTGTTGGTAATAGGACAGGTATACAGGCCTCTAGTCCCTTCAACTGTTTTTAGTTTGCCTCTATCTTTACATTTCATCTCTTTTCTCTGCTTTCTTTACCTCCCTCCTCGTCTTCCTCCTCTCTCTCACTGTAAGCCTCATCTGCCAATGTGACCCCAACCTCTCATAAAGAGATGTTCTCTATTCTCAGGTGATTATCACAGCACTGCAAGATACAAGCCAAAACACACACACACACACACACACATTCCCAGGCTGTCTGTGCAGGTCTTTAAATCCTGCCTCCAGCCTCTTACACACAGGGACTTAGCTGAAGCTAACCCTGCTAATCAAAACACAGAACATTGGGACCTGGCAGCGCTCCGTCTGGCTCTGCTCCCCCTACTACCGAAGGCATGACTGTGTGGCCTTCAGGGGTCAGCAGGTGGCAGATTACATATAACAGGATTATTATTAAGAAGTAACAGTGGAGTTACTGTGTGAGAAATAATAATAAGTCAAACTGTTTTCATGTAATTTGCTGATGTGAATAACGGAAATGCCACGGTTTTTTGGCTTTTCCTCGATTTGATGCAGATTGCAGGTTCAGCCGTGCCAGCATTCCTCTGGTGCAGAAAATCACAGAGGATAATGGAAGAGAGCAAATATGAGGAGAGAGGGTTACAAATGGATGAAGGCAGATGCAATAAGCACTTCTGCATTTTCTTTATAGTCTGGTTAGATTTCTACCTTCTCCTGTTGACGTTCAACTGGACCAACAAAATTAATGCTGCCCTCAAGTTACGTAATAAACAGTGGTATTTATGACAAGGGAATAACTGTAATACACAAACAAGATTATCTGCAGTATCAAGTCCCAAACTTATGATGATTTGGGATGTCAGTGAACAAATTCTTGGCGTATCCATTTGCAGGCCTGGAACTGACCCAACACTAAGTCCTGCCCTGGCCAATCATAAAGTAGCTTCAGGCCAGCTCAGACCAGGGTCCGACAACAACACAGCTGTGCACCATTGACTCTAATGCAGTCATTTCAGATTTCCTTCATTTCCAGGCTGGTTTTGTG